CTCCTTCCTCGTGATCCACCCTCGCCTCACCCTCCCGCCGCCTCGCTGCTCTCGCTCGCCGCTTGCTCGCCCGCCCGACTTTCCACTTCCTCGTGATCCGAACCGCCACCACCCTCGCCTCACCCTCCCGCCGCCTCGCCGCTCTCGCTCGCCGTTCGCTCGCCCGCTCCCGACTTTCTACTTCCTCGTGATCCATCTCGCCGCCCGCTCGCTCGCTCGCGCTCGACCTCCTACTTCCTCGTGATCCACCGCCGCCACCCTCGCCTCGCCCTCCCGCCGCCTAGCCGCTCGCTCGCCGCTCGCTCGCACGTTCGCGCTCGACCTTCTACTTCCTCGTGATCCACCGCCGCCACCCTCGCCTCGCCCTCCCGCCGCCTGGCCGCTCGCCTGCCGCTCGCTCGCACGTTCGCGCTCGACCTTCTACTTCCTCGTGATCAACCCGCCGCCACCCTCACCCCCCAGGACTCAACATACTCGGGCTTGCGAGTCCCAAACTGTCACTCCCCTTTCTCCCGGCCGGGGTGGGGCGCGCGCGGGGGCGGCGGGTGTGCGCGGGTGTGAGGGATGTCTGTGAGCCCGAGAGCGATATGCCATGTCCGCCTTGCGGTTGTTTTCATAACATCGATATGTATGTATGTAGTAAGGTGAAGAACAGTCAGGCTCGGACTGGACACCAACGCGGTATGGGTGGACGCAAGACAGATGATGACGACACGCACGAGCGACACACAGACACAAACAAGCTCACAAGACACACATCGAAGGCTAAGCTCAAAAAAAGAATACACGCGGCCGCCTTACCCTGCACACGCCCTCTCAGCCTCGGGCGTCGGCGCACTTTCCTCCGACGCTCACATGCGAGTGCGGACGCCCTTCCGCTGCTCCCCTCACCCGTGCGAGTACGAGATCGCCTTTGTCTCCGACGTGGAGGGCGACCTCGACTACTTCAACCGCTGGGTGGCAGGCTCGCGCTGCGTGGCGTACACCGGCAGCGACGAGGCGGCGCTCACGCTCACGCACGCACGCGCGTATTTCGTGTACGGCGGCGACGTGCCGGATCACGGGCGCGGCAGTGAGCAGCTGCTCCGGCTGCTCGTCGGCCTGAAGCGCGCCTTTCCTCGCCGCGTCGCGCTGCTGGTTGGCAACCGCGACCTCAACAAGCTGCGGCTCACCTCCGAGTGCGCGCCGAGCGATCTAGCGCGGCCGCACTGGTCCATCCCAGCGCCGCACTGGGACCCCTCGGCGCCGACGCTCTCGCAGCATCTCGAGCAGGTTGCAGCGGCGCGCGGCGGCGCGACGGCAGAGTCTTGCGACTGTGCCGCCGAGCGGCTGCGTTGGATGTACGAGAACACGCTCGGCTGCCCGGCAACGTTCGAGGCGCGGCGAGCCGAGCTCGCGGCCTTGCGAAGCGTCGGAAGCGCCACCGGCGACAACGGCGGCGGCGGCGGCGGCGGCGGCGCGGTCGCTGCGGTGAGCGATGAGGGAGGTGTGAACATCGTCTCTTCACACCCCCACTGCTGTGAATAGGCGGCGCTGCGGTGAGCGACGAGGAGGTTGTTGCGGCAGCGGTGGCGGACGTGATGCCGGGCGGTGCGATGCAGCAGCCTGCACGCCTGCTCATCACACGCACTTCTCTCGCCCTCCTCTCTCCCTCTCTGTCCCTCTCTCTCCCTGTCTCTCTCCTTCTTCTCCATACATTGCGAGGTGCAGCCGAGATCACCCGACAGTATCACACAGGTGCGAGGAGCAACTACTTGCGCCACGCCTTCTCGGAACCTTCTCGGAACCTTCCAGGAACCTTCGCAGGTGCGATGAGCAACTACTTGCGCCACGCCTTCTCGGAACCTTCTAGGAACCTTCCAGGAACCTTCGCAGGTGCGATGAGCAACTACTTGCGCCACGCCTTCTCGGAACCTTCTAGGAACCTTCCAGGAACCTTCGCAGGTGCGATGAGCAACTACTTGCGCCACGCCTTCTCGGAACCTTCTCGGAACCTTCCAGGAACCCTCGCAGGTGCGATGAGCAACTACTTGCGCCACGCCTTCTCGGAACCTTCTAGGAACCTTCCAGGAACCTTCGCAGGTGCGATGAGCAACTACTTGCGCCACGCCTGCGTCGCCGCAGTCTTTGGCCAGACTCTCTTTGCGCACGGCGCCGTCGACGCGCGGACCGCCGGGTGCGAGACGGACGTCACGCTCCCGCTGCTGGGGGCCTTCCAGGAGCCTTCCAGGAGCCGTCTAGGTACGTGCCGGACGACTCGACACGCTTCTGCTTGCCGGCGGCGCCGCAGGCTGGGCGGATGGTCGATTCCGTGTCCGAGTGGGTCGACGCGCTGAACGGTCTCCCCACAATCCTCCCCCCTGCCGAGTCTGGGGGATGGTGCTAGAGGTTGAG